GTCTATATTCTATATTTGCACTGTGAAAAAAATAAAACATCAGGTCTGTGGCCCAAGTTCTGCAGAGCCTCCGTTAGTTGTGTGGATACAGTAATGGAGAAGCGTGCCACAGGGAGGCTGTGTGTGTGTGTGTGTGTGTGTGTGTGTGTGTGTGTGTGTGTGTGTGAGAGAGAGAGAGAGAGAGAGAGAGAGAGAGAGATGGAGAGAGAGAGAGAGAGATGGAGAGAAAACAACTTTGTTTTCTTTCAGCTTTTGCTCCTTATAGTAAGCCTACATGTATTTTTTGATGACAGAAACAGTACAACATATGACAAAGAGTAAAGCTTGACTTCGGAAAGAATTATCCAGATATCCAAAATTTAAAAAATTGAAAGTGTTAATAAAAGTTTCTAGTCAAAGTATAGTCTGCCTACTTTTTCAAGGAAAAATTTGTAGGCCAAAAGCTATGACATATATATTTACATGTACATTTACGTCATAAAATATCTTATAGATATATTATTCTTATTTTTTCGTAAGACACTGGAAAATTAATTCTTGTATTTTCTACCAAAATTACTTAAACAGTTGGGAAAATATATAATTTCAACTGCTTTACTTTCAGTCCTCGTTTTCAGCACCAAATGTACGCTACTCCACGATCATCACTCTCCGTTTCAGTCCAAGTAAAGGATAACTTAACAGCCCGTGATATCACACTGACTCTCCGGGCTCATGCATAATGAGATAACAGCCTAAACGGCAAAATGAGACCTTTTGGTGCGCACACTGCAAAAAATGACAACTTTGACAAGTGGTGTGTGATGTCACGTTGCTCCTGTCTATCACCGAAATCACCATATTCTGTTTATAGGCTGCTCTGTTGAGTTTATCGTTTCCAATGTTTTGCGTGTTTCAAGATGAACAGGGGCAAAGTACAGAGTTATTCACCGTCCACTAAATTACAGTTCAAGACAAACATTGACAAAAAAAAGAGAAGGAAAGGTGGACTAAAATTTCCAACGATCGCACAGCCAAGGCTGATTATCTGCTCTGTGTGTGTATGAAAACTTAAAAGGTGGTTGTTTTTTGCAGTGCCTCGATTGGTACGTCTTTGCCCTGACATGACAAGGGTCAGATGTATCAACGTCTGTGGTGGTGTAACCTGTGTGAAGCCATAGGATTTAACGCAGGAGACGAATGAACTCTATTCCGATTTATTTGAGTGTATTTGTCCTCCTGCTCGGAAGCGTGTATTGTGCTCCGTGTCTTGTTCTTTGGGGAGTAAATAACTGGACATTACAAGGTTCATTCATAACATTCAGAGACAACCTGCTTGAGCAAACTGATCGTTAATTGGTTCTGTTAATTACCCATGTATTAATAGAAGTACAGGCAAAACAAAAAACAAAAAACATATGGTCGATTACTCAATGTACAGTATCTGCTGATGCGCCTATCAAATTGAGACGGGGTCTTATGTTTAATGAACTTCGTTGTCTGGAGCCAGAAGTTAAGAGAAGAAGAGGTCGCGCGTCATGACGCAAGGAACGCAAAAATGCCAAACGGGTTCCTGCTACCAGACTGGGATTATGGAGGAGTTTAGAGCGGAAAAATCAGAAGACCTGGGGTGGGGACCTGGAAGGAATTATTATTTGGGGTATAAACCAATACTATTCCTGCACAGTCTGCCCCCCACGCCCCCACCCCCCTCATCGACCCCCCCTCCCCGAGTCCTACGTCGTGGACTCCAGGCTTTCCGCTTTCGCACGTTGGCTCATGATGCGCAGTGGAGGGTTGGAGAGGGAGCGCGCGCGAGAGAATGAGAGAGAGAGAGAGAGAGAGAGAGTGGTGTGCGCGCCGGGGGGGGGGGTGGTAGAATTGACGAAGGCAGAGACTGGGAGAGAGAGAGAGGAGGGAAAGAAGGAGGTGACGGACCTGCTCCTCTGGGACACACGGCTGTACCGCTCACTGCTCGGCGCTTTTCGGCGGGGGTCGGCTCACACACAAAAAAAAAAAAAAAAAAAAAAAAAAAACGGTCTTCAGCTCCTAAAATAAGGCACCAATAAGGAGCGTCTTGTTGTAGCTGTCACCGAGCTCTGCGAGGATCGCCGCGGTCGCTGCTCCGCTTGTAGGAAATCTGGACTTAAAACTGTGAGAGGGGAGGGAGAGAGGGGGGAGAAAAAAGCAGGATTCATGGAGGCTCTGTGCAGCTTCATCGAGCAAAACGCCTGGATTATCTGATTTGGGGAACGGGAGCGTTGCACAGTTTAAAGGCGAGACGTGTTTCTTTTTCTTTCTCTCTCTCTCTCTCTCTCTCTCACGTTGTGCCACCGCCGTGTCCAACTCTATAGGCTGCGACGTGTTTTTGTTTGGAGGTAAGCTGATCCTGCTCTGATCCGGCTACGTGTATTCACTGTTGTTGCCAATTCATAGCGGTTTTTACATCGCAGTATATAGAGGCTGCTCTGCTCTGCTCTGCTCTGCTCTGCTCTGCTGTGCGTTGCACGAATCGTTGCTCGCTGCAGAAGTGACACCGTCTGAGTGGCGAGGATTTTTCTCTTTCAGTGTGTTTCACTTTGTTCTGGACGTCACCGTGTCGCTACATAGCAATAAAGCTCATGCCTTTTGTTTTGTGAACGTGAATAGGAAATAAGTGTTTCCGAATATTATAGTAAGCTGCCTGCATCAATGAGCAGCCGTAGTTCTTTCCCAAAATAGGTCATCACTGTTGTAATGTTTGGGGGATTCTATAGACAGCGTGAATCGGTCTTATTCAAATAATAGGCTATCTCTATCAATAACCTAAAATAGACTAGATTTGTAGCAATAATCTTGGCACAAGCCAAACGTTCATCTTATTTAGACAGTTTAATGTAGGTTGAATTTATTATGCTGTTACTCTGAACACTCATGTTGATATGTTAATATATGATGCTATTTTTAACGCTGGGAATCCTGAGCTGTAGTTTTTAGCCCGTGATGCATTTAGCACACTGGACTTCCGAAGATGAGAAAACTTTGTGTTGACATAGTAACAAAGTTTACTTGTTTCTGCCTGTGTGTGTGTATATACAGAAGCTATATATACATATATATATATAAACTCATTGAAATCAGTAATAATGTTAATGAGGAGGAGCCCCACTCACACACTGACATATCTGTTTTTTTTTTTTTTTGGGTCTTCCAGCTGGGGCGGTATAGTTTTCGGAGCTTCTGTCATGGCGGACCAAGAGGAGACTTTTGGCCTCCAAAACTCTCCTGGTGGCTCGGATTCAAGGGAAGTACAGAGCGATAATAAATCAGAGAAGCAGAACGGGACCTCGAGCAAATCCCCATCCTCACAGACAACTTACATCCAGCAGGTCAGTATCAGTCAGGTCAGTGTGCAGGCCTCTCACTCTCACTGCTGCAGGCTGCAAACCGAGCTCACACATCCACACCGGACAAATATTCGTCTGCGGTTTGACGCTGTTGCTTTGGATGTTAAAATATCCACAATCAAACAAACAAAACAAAAAAAAGCCCGCTAATGGGATATATAAATCCTGCTACTTTCCAAAATAAATATGTAGCCTATAGATTATGTAATATAGTCTGCCTTATAATAAAGTTATAGTTGTGAAGTTGAGTATAATTGAGTTGCTCTAAGAAACTGGCTAAAAAAATAATTAAAAGTTAAGATTTTGAAGCATTTCGATTAGTTTTAGTCAAGGTTTTATTAGTGAATATGAGAATATATTTCTGACAAGCTTTGCAGGAGACTATGCTCAGAGCTAGACATTATCTGTGGCTTATTATGCTGTATATTGTTTTTAGGACAAATGTGTACCCAAGGCCCAACAGGTTGAAGACTGCAGAGTGATTTAGTGCAGCACGATGTTACGTTACTAAGTGGTTACACCAGGGTTACATTGTCACTACATATCTTATATTATTTATTGCTTAGCAGCACAGTGGTCCAAAGATTATTTATAAAAATGTTTTTGCATGTTTCTTTAAAATCAAAAACAATGTTTCGCGTAAATCTACAGTTATTTATCATTTATAATTCACCTTCAGCAGCTGAAGGCAGATGTTTTTCACAACAGGCCTTTTCACCAACTCAGAAGGCCTCAAAACCATGTGAGACTATAATGTATGGCACCTCTGCGTAAAACTGAAGAACAAGCCCTTTATTATTATTTTTGGGTTTACAAAAAAAAAGCTGCGGGCGCTACAGAGACTAAGATGTTTTACTTTGAAGGGAATGGAGGGAATAAAAGTCTACCTGCACGAGAGGGAACTGTGGATGAAGTTTCACGAGGTGGGGACGGAGATGATCATCACCAAAGCCGGAAGGTAAGACACCACACTATCAAAAAAAAAAACATTTAGCCATTATTATTATTATTATTATTGTTATTATTATTATAACTGGGGAGAACTAATCACAGGGGTTTATTGGCTGCATGTGTGCTTGTTGATAAGGCTTCCCCCACGCCATTAGAGTGTATGAATTTTATCTAGGCCTGTTTGTGAGTTCAACTGTGGACTATAGGCCCCGATTGGAATTTTTTCTTGCGTGGGGATTTTGGAAATATACACTGTGAGGAACCACAGAGAAAACACAGAGCATCTGGTGGACGCTTTAACGCTCTGCAGCACCGCATAGCTACGTTTTAGTCTGGGTGGCCCTGTTGGGAAATGCAATTCCATCGACCAATCATCCTGAGAGAGCAAATGGACAAACCCGTCCTCCGGTGTAAAATAACTGCTGAGTACGAGTCTGCTCCCTACTAGTGAAATAAAGTCATTTTAGGGAACATGTGCTCTGCCATTTGTGATCTGTGTGTGTGTGTGTGTGTGTGTGTGTGTGTGTGTGTGTGTGTGTGTGTGTGTGTGTGTGTGTGTGTGTGTGTGTGTGTGTGTGTGTGATTGTATGCAGACACTTCCCGCTTGCAACACTTTTTTTGCATGCAACATGTTACGCAGCGGCTGTAGCTACACGTTTCTCGCTGTCAGCTCCACACTTTGCCCTCTGGCTGCATCCAGTCAAAATAACGCGCGTCGGCTGAGTGTGAACGTGCACGTAATAGACTGTATGCATGATGACCGCTGGTGTCTGCTCATGTCAAACGGCCGGGGGCTCACGTGTGTGTGTGTGGGTGTGGGTGTGGGTGTGGGGTTGTGTGTGTGTGGGGTTGTGTGTGTATTATGAATGGCCAACATTTATAATTTAACACAGCTACATTTCATTGTGCTCTCCGGTGCGGCCAGTTGTTTTCTCACAGCTGCACAAAGTCTCCCATTATACTCCCGTCAGTCATTTCACTCGCGTTTTTGGCGTGAAATGATATTACACAGCAGCCCTCCTCATCTTCAGCCCTTCCCTCTGACTCGTGAGACTTGATAGCCTTATTCATATTATGTGTTTTTTTCCCTGCTGAATGACAGATAGCCTACCAAATATCCAAGTGATTTACTAAACGGATCCTGCAAAAAAAGGAAAAAAAAAAAAAAAAAAATCTGGCCCAAAGTGGAAAAACGTTTTATAATGTGCAGGTCTCACACAGACCTAAGGCCCTGCTCTGATAATAGTCTTTACCTTTCCAAACCAAATATAGTTTAGTTTAGGTTAGTTTAGGTTAGTTTAGTTTTCAAATTCGAATCATTAAAATGTCATGAGCTTTATTCTGAAAACACTCATTTGTTTTCATTCCTAATTGGACACTTGCACCATCTTAAACGTTTGAAAATGGCCAAAATTCTGATGTGAATTCTTGTGATTTCTTCTCCAGAGCAGAAAACAGTGAAAACACACCACAGTCTATATATAAATATATATATTTTTTTTTTGCTTGTGCGTGTCTCCATTTTTTTCCACACTTAAAATACCATAAAGCGCAATAAACCGTCTTTTGTCCTTTACAGGCGAATGTTCCCCAGCTTCAAAGTGAAGGTCACGGGACTAAACCCCAAAACTAAATATATTCTCCTGATGGATGTTGTTCCTGCGGACGACCATCGATACAAATTCGCCGACAATAAATGGTATGTAAATATAGGTTATAACACACACATACACACACACACATATACAAAAATCACTCTCAAGGACTTTTCCCTCCAGAAACAAACTTTTTCTTCAACTTTACGCGCAGGACATTTCATAATAATGGAGGTCATTGTTTTGGGGGTCGCAGCTATCTCTCTCTGCTGAGTTTACTCCAACAGGAAATCTTATATATTGTTGTCCTGATGGAGGAGAATCGGAAGTGAACGTATTCATTCCTCGAGAATTATGAACTGTGTGTTTTTTAATGGTTGCCAAGAAATGTAGTCACCAGGGAGAGGAGACGTTTGTGCCGGAGCTGACTCCTCGGTGCTGAATGGATGTTTGATGACTTCTCCTAAAGCTCTACCAGTCTATATATGTGCACTGCAACAGGGCTTTCTTTCACCGTGCAGCATAAACATATTTGTTTAGTGTCATGTCGATCTCTCTAACCTTGGCCAGGAATGCCTTGTTCGGGTCAGTGCCTGTCAATGAGGAGTTACTTAAAGAGGATAATCACATGCCAATACTGCCGACAATGACCTGTCCAAAGCATGTCCTGGACCTAAGTCTCCTCCTGATCTAACTATGTTGGAGGACAGTTTCTACCAGCTCTAATGTGACCACTGACAATCCAAAACCAACCTGTGTTATCTATAACACACGACGGCACAGTGTGTAATTTCATCCATCCATTTAATTTAAATAAGCCCAGGTGCAAAGGTTTTTAGAAAACAGATAAACATAATTAACTGAGTTCAGCGTTTGTGGCTTTTTTTTTTGTTTGTTTGTTTGTCTGTTTGTTTGTTTTTCTGTTCTGTTTTTGTGTCCTTTGTGTGTGTGGTTAAATTTTCTGCGCGAAATATATTCATTTCATATTTCTTTTTATCATTTTTATTCAATTTTGAAATCTCTCTGCTCAGCTTCAAAATTGTTAAATTGTTAGAAGCGAATGAAAAATGTCTAATTAACATTTTGCACCGCGGACATGGTCCACCTCTTCCAGTGTCTTAGCGCCTGCACCGTTAGCTGGCCTGTGTGTGTGTGGGTGTATGTGTGTGTTTGTGTGTGTTTGTGTGTGTTTGTGTGTGTTTGTGTGTGTTTGTGTGTGTGTGTATGTGTCAGCCCAAGGTGTTATTACAGTGTGACTGTGTTGCTGTGATTCAGGTCTGTGACCGGGAAGGCAGAGCCCGCAATGCCCGGGAGGCTCTACGTTCACCCGGACTCTCCCGCCACGGGGGCGCATTGGATGAGGCAGCTCGTCTCCTTCCAGAAGCTGAAACTGACCAACAACCACCTGGACCCGTTCGGACACGTAGGTGCCGAGGCCTATCATCTATATACCTTTTAAAGCACATTGCTCGTGTGTCTGTGAATGAAATAATAACCTGGCACTGCATTGATCAAAGTCCAGAAATGATTTTTTTTTCGCATGGTTTGTTGCTCAGTGGCACCTCAGCGCGTGTTCTACTGTTCTACTCATCTGTAGGCCTCTCTGTCACGCTTTACAAAACAAGTGCTGGTTTTCACATCTGATCATTGACTGATGATTGTTTTTCTTCGTTTAATCTCAGAACTTTGTTAAGCATTTGTATGAAAATCACCCAGAACATAAAAACATGGACAAAGTGGACACTGTTAACTAAGGATGAAAATAACTGACTTTAAATTATTATCATTATTATTGTTATTATTATTAGTTAGAGAACATTCAGTTTGAGTGTATTTGTTGAGACTCATAAACCACTTATTTACACCTATTGCACCATGGAGTTTAAGAATCACAGGCCTAACTTTGAAAAACCGAAAGATTCAACTGCATCCTCCTACTTACTTTAATTTTAAAAAAATCTATTTTTTTTAACTGTAATTTTTTGCATGACTAGACACCAATGAGGCTGCATGTTGTCCATTAAATTTACTTTAAAAATTGAACAGACCTATTTCAGCAATTCTCCAGCATCAGGTCCTTTAAACTCACTGACCTCATGAGGTTTTGACTGTGTTACTGTTGTTGTTTGAATTCTATTTATTCACTGGAGACTTTCTGAATATTTGCAAAGTAGTATAAAGTACTATATACTCAGTGCTAAAAAAATTGTTGCTGCATTGTTGTTTTAATTATTTTGCTGTCTAAAGTGTCTAGAGTTATCTTTCAAACTTATTACTTGAACTTAAACTGTTTTTGTATTTTTTTCTGATACAAATTAGTTTTTCTGCAGTATTTGAGAGAGTATTGATTTAGAAAATTCACAGACAGGAAAATACAATTTATGAGGTTTTGTTGAAACTATGGTTGCTTGTGTTTGAAAAGAAAAAAAATAGTCAATATATTTAAGAGTTAAAAATATTTAAAAAATGAAAATATAATCTATTTTCACAATTACTATCAGGAAATCTTAAAAAAAAAGCTGACCATTTTTATCAGTCGCATAAAGAAATCATGTTTAATTCTTTGACTATGAAATGCAAGAGAGATTAATTTAAATGACAGCAAATTGTGAACAATGTTTAAAATCAGGTAATACCATCCTTAAAAATTACTTCTGAAAAATTTAACAGAACGGTAATTTTTTCCCCCCTAATAGAGTTTTGTTAAACTGAAATACCAAAGTCAAAAAATAACTCAGCAAAGTCAGTTAGTTGTAAATGTGCACTTGTGATGCTTTCCTTAATAATGAACATCATAAATAATGCTATAGCCCTAATTTGCACACAGTAAAAGAAAAGGAATATAATAACGTTCTATCGAGTCTCCTTTACTTTAAGTTGCTGTTTGGGAGAAAAAAACTCTAATCTCAAATACTGATTACAAAATCATCTTTTGAATTTAGACTCCTTTCATCCTGCAAATGTTGATGGTAAAGTAGAATAATATGTTTGTTATACAAGCATCCTGACACCTCTTTGGTGCTTTGCGTTGCCGGGTTTATTATAGCACCCCCTAGATTCAATAAAGTCGCTGACCTCCTGGAAGTCTGCTTTCATAAGTAAAGGGGAGCAGTTGTGCACTTTTTAGCAAAAAGGAAAGCAGCAATTGCACCCCCTCCCATCGTCCCCCCACCCCCTTTACCAGCGAGGGATTGCATGGTACCCATTTCCTAACTTAAACTCCTCATTATTCTCAACTCAATATCTGGCCCCAGGCTTTTGTTATTTCTGTCGTACCCAAAACAGAAAACACAAATATCACTTACTTCATCAACGTGTTTTCAGGCTACAAATGAGGCTGTTGGCCGCAGGTTTTCATAAAATTTTGAGTTGATGGGCACATTGAGGCCTAATTAGATGTCTTGTTGTGGAAATGAAATAGTCACACAATTAGCTTTCTGACTAATAGGCCCAGTCGTTAAAGGAAAAAAACAATAATGAGGTTGGGTAAAAGAGGCACATCAATAGCGGCCCCGTTTTTAAGGACAGAGGTTAAATTATAAAGGAAAAACACCAGGAAATGAATTAAGTCAAAGTCATTAAAAGTGTTCAGTTAATGTTATTTAGAGATGTAAAACTGAATACGGTTCAACAGGGATGAGGAAAAGTTTGTTTATTTTGGTAGTTTTGTGCAAATATAAGAGGTCATTAAGAGGCAGAAAACCTAGTCTTATTATAATTAAGTATTAAATGTATTCCAGTTATCATGCCCACTGAACACGGATGAACAATTATTCTGATAGCTACAGGTAGTCTGACTAGTGTCAAGTCTTTTACAGCCATTTGTATCATTGACTCCAGTTTGAATCTAAAATGAGACTGAAAAAATGCATACCAGTGTGTATTCTTCCACCACACACACACACACACACACACACACACACACACACACACACACACACACACACACACACACACACACACACACAGCCACTATCGATCCACATGGCACCAATGGTGGTTGTTGCCTTTCCAAAGCCCAGCTGGCGAAATGAAACTGGGGCTCGGTCGGAATGTGCAGCATCGTTGTAAATTTTGGGTTAACGTGCGTTTTTTGATTGGTTGCAGTAGTTCCTGGCTCGCACTGTTTTGCGCTGGGAGACGGCACCATGGGATTCATAAATGAAACTCTGGTGGCTGGCCAGAAATCTAATCCATCAGCTTGTTGGTCCAGCTGGTTGAAATAACTTGTAGATGATTTATAATTACTAGCAGTGAGACATGAGACCAAAACAGATTGCTGATTTAGATTGGAACAGCTCGGGACAGGCCTGAAACAGACATTTTTTCTAGAAATGTCTGGTAATGAGACACACGTCTGCGGACCGAGCAGGGCCGAGCTCACAGCTCAGGACTGCTGTGAAGACAGCCACATGGGGCCTGAGTGTTTGTGTGCAGGGTTAAATGTGCAAACTTTGTTTGTTTTTTTTAATTCAAATGAATCATAATTAACAGGTTGAACTGCAACAAAGTCTTCTAAAAATTACTTTCATATACAACTTGTTTGCAATAGCAAAGAAAAATGCTGCAGACTACATTTTCTTACATAATCATAGTTTTGAATGGTGTTTTTGTTTTCTCCAGTTGCATGTTTGTTTTTTGCAACAACACAGCACAGCACAACAGCATGGTTCGATGGCATATGTAATAGGTTACATCTTATTGGCACATATAGTGTATGTAGTCAGCTTTTTCCAGCATTTTACATATTGATCAGAGCATAGTCATAGAGATCAGTTCCTCCACACAGTGGATTCCACCGAGAACTCTAGTTGAGGATAGTGGGTATGAATACGGTTTTATGGTGAGAATGGTTTCACTTGCCATTACACACATGCATGTTAATAAAACACTAGAACAGTTGTGAAAAGTAACTACGTACATTTACTCTCAACTACTGTACTTAAGTACAATTTTGAGCCATTTGTACTTGAGTATTTCCATTTTATGACACATTATACTTTTTATTCCACTGCATTGCAGTTGAAATATTATGCCTTTTAGCCCACTATACCTGCCAGCTGTAGTGACTGTGGTAGTTCGGTCCTACTTTGCACTTTGCAATTTACAACAACTGGTGATCGGCTTATAAAACATGACGTGCTGCTCTCAGTTAAACGACACAAAAGCACGGTTTGAACGAGTTTCACCTTAAAATGCTGCTCAGTGCATTGCTAATGGTAATTCACTCTGGAGGGGGACATTGTACTTAATGAGTACTTTTGATACTTAACTTCATTTTGCTGTCAACACTTTGACTTTGTATTTTTCCTCTTGAACCATTACAGTAATACTGTGGACTCACTGTTATGGATTCATGTAAGCAAATTGGTGTTGTTTTCTTGAATTCCTAAAAATCATTTGTTTTAGTCTCAGGTTTCATACCAAGCTGCAGTTTCAGCTTTGATCTCCCTCTCAACTCCAGGAATATTTCTCAATGTTATTCACCCCACCCCACCCCCACCCTCGCTTTGCTCCTGCACTCGTCTCCCCGTCTTCCCACACATGTTTTGGCCAGGAGGGTGGAGTGTGAGGATCGCACTGTTTATATTTGAATGGCAGTGTGCGATGAGCAATAGATGATGGTGTACAAAGCCTTCTAATCCCGAGGCTCAGGGAAACTCTCTGATGTGGTGGAACTTGAAAGGAAAGGGCAGCGGCGTGAGACCCAAAGTGATCCCTCACTATCATTAAATACTATCATCCAGAGGCTGGGGGGGGAGGGGGGGCAGAGATACTGAGACCCAGGCAGGGCAGCGGCTGGGCCTGGGAGACGAGGCGTGTGCTGGGGCCCCAGTGGGTGGTCTACAGCTACACCCCTACCCCCACTTTACCCCCCCCCCCACTAACACACATAACTGGACTTTGGGAACCCACAGCCAGTGGACCGTGCTATTTTCCGGGGTGAAATGTACACTTAGAAATTTCCATGCAACTTCTAATGTGTCACAGCGGCGGACATTTGTAGCTTCTAAAGCCATGTAGTGCTGTGAATGATGGGTTCACATTGATGGGCTTGTTGTTGCGGTCTTGTCCCAAGCTTGGACGTATCTCTGCAGACCTCAAATAAGCCATCAGTGAACGCATGCCTGGGAAACTGTTTCGTTTAACCTACTTCTTACTCTGCACTGTGTTCAGATAGTTTTGAAAAGCTCTTTCATAGAAAGTTAAAGCCTTTCTGGATCCAAACAGAATGGAAGCGCTGTTTTATATGCGGTTAACAATAGCTTTCATTTGCACAGTGACATAACTTCACAACACAGGAAACAATGAACTTCAATATGAAAATGAAGACAAATTTACCAACAAAGTTTCATTTTTCTCAGTCTAGGACTCAGTTCTTGGTAAAAACAGACCCAGTATGCAAACCCTAAAGCCCCTTTGCTGCAAATAGTTTCATTTATGATAGATTAGAAATTTTGCAGAAGTCACCCACTCTTCAACAGCTTCCTTATCTCACCAATGTGATGATATTTTCTGCACAGGGTCAGTAACTTCCATTAAATCATCTTGCATCTACAAAAAGGTGCATGGCAGGCAGTTTCTGCCCATTACAAAAACCTATTGCACCATGAAATGAGATCAAGTTCAACTGGAAATTAATAATGGATGACCATCGTATCATCCCTGTGGTGCACTCGGCTCTAAGAAAGGACCTGGGGTTATGTGTAATACTGCGGGATGCCCCAACAGGCACTGGAGGTCAGGGCGATCCCTTGTCTCTTCTCATGTTGGCAGTGAAAGGCAGGTACAAAAACAACCTTTGAGATAGCAGATAAGAGGAATGCCTATGGGACTGAAAGGTGGGGGTAGCTGGGTTTAAAAAAAAAAAAAAGGGGGGGGGGGGGGGGGTAAGCCCTGTTTTTTTAATCTTTAAATGTAAGTGGATCGGGTGAAAATAAAAACCATTAGATTTCCTCAGGGCCGATGACCATGACCCCCTGTTCCGTCAAAACAATTAGACTTAAGGCCCACGCATGAGAGGGCCTGAAAAGAGAAGTTCAAGGCTCAAGTTCAGCTGTGTGGAGCGCGTCTTAATGTCGCCAAGCTAGCCACTGGTAGTAGTCATTAGTTAGCACAGACTAGGTTAGTCAGATTAGAAAGGCAACAAGAGAGCGGGCGTGCTTAAATCAGTCTATTATTCTTCTGGGATTGCTCATCTCATTACCCTGTATGACTGTTACCATGGGAACACTATAATTAGAATATTGCTAGTGAATCAGTCTTAGAGTTTACTTCATTTTCTCAGGCTGACGTTTATTACTTTGAATGAGTAGAAAGGTTCAAATGAGTGGGCCTTCTAATAACACTGCACACTGCCCAATTTTATTTGAAATATATATGAAACAATAAAACTTCCATTGCCTTTTGTAGTCCAATAAAAGTTTTAGCTTTGGTCAAACGTAATTTTGGGTTGTTTTTTTTTTTTTTTTAATGCTGCAGTTTTTGACTGAAAGTTAATCTCAATTTGATTTATTGAGGTTTTGTGAGATTAATGGATTACATTACCTTAATCTTAGTAGCTGCCAAGCCTTCTTTATTTAAATAAAATTTCTCACTTTTCTGCAATGAATGACTCACTTCCTTTTATCTTTGAAGAATGTCATCATTATGCTCACCCATGTCTTGTATATGTTTGCATATGTTATCATGGAGAAATACTGAAATGTTTTGCAGAGTGGTGAGCATTCTAATCCTGTGCACCAGCGTGTCTACGTCTCAAATGCAAATGTAGAAAACTGTAGAAATGCAAATGTTTGAAAACTGCTCATGAGGCCACACGTGAGCAACAATAACCTCCAAACTAACAAAGCAACAAATACAGTTATGATGGAGGTTGGGGAAACTAGGATTTGAGGGGAAATATAAGAGTGCTTCACCTTTATTTTATTCATTTATTTATTTTTTTTTACAACAACTGCTGAAGAAAAAGTTTGTGTGTACAACAAATTCTGTCACTGCCCCAAAGTTTTTATTTATTTATTCTTTTTCACAAATTTTGTTGATAATATGCAGTCAAGTATCTAACGCTATACGCTCCACGTTTCCTTCATTGTAGATCATCTTAAATTCGATGCACAAGTACCAGCCGAGGATCCACATTGTGAAGGCGGATGAAAATAACGGCTTTGGCTCCAAAAACACGGCCTTCTGCACCCACGTCTTCCCCGAGACTGCCTTCATTGCGGTTACATCCTATCAGAACCACAAGGTAAGTCCTGCTCCTTTTGGATTTTGTTTTTTGTTTTTTTGTTTTTTAAGTGCAGTCGGCGACACAGTAACTAGGCAACTTTAAATGCGAGGCGTATTTTATGAAGCGATTTCAATTTAATAAGGTAAAAAGGAAAACGCAGCAGAAATACAAACAGGACCGTATGTTGCACACTTTTAAATATGCAGGCCGATCATATGCAAATAATGTAAAGGTCTAATTTATCGTAACCCTAATCAAATAGGCTAATTAAAAAAAATAAACATTAACAATGTCACCTGCATTTTTTTTCTACTGAACTCCTGATGGCAGGCTGGGTGTGCTGGTTGCAGGAGAGAAAAAGAAAAGCCATGCACGGTTCTCTGTGAGGTATAGCGAAGCAAAGCCTCGTCACTGTCAGCTGAAAGTCTCTGATTGAGTCACTGACAGACGAGGGAAAGCTGCAGATACCCGACTAGACGACGTCTGACCTCAGGAGACTTTTTTTCCCCAAGTTACAGGCCTATGCAGCGCTTTGTAGAGGGAGACGAGCTCCAGATAAAACAGATAGGCCTACAGATACTCCTCAGGCGGATAAACACATGATGGTGATGATGATAAAAACAGAAACAATAATAACAGCCAATATTAACGGCTGCAAATACTAGTAATAACAATATTATGTTTAGGTTTTTATTAGTGATTAAATAAATAGTTGCGGATCTCTGCTACTTTATGAACACTTTGAAATAGTTTGTGCCAATTATTTGGTCAAAATGTGTTTGTTTGTTTGTTTGTTGTTGTTTTTTTCAGTCAGTTTCACACAGGCAGAAAAACAGTGGAGGTTATATGAACTTGATCACCACATTACGAGATTATCTCTGGCCTGTTATTTATCAAAATAGCCCTTGGTGCGTTGGTGACATGATGCGCAACATAAAACAGAAGGTTACAAAGTCTCCTGCTTAAGCAAAATAAAAATAAAATACAGGCTAATATAATTAAATAAAACGAAAAATGATCTATCTAACTAATATACGTGTTTCTTTTTTAATTATATTTAGGCCTATTTATTTATTTTTAGTTTCTCGCAGTCAGTTGACGGGGCATTAACCTGTAATACGAATAGTTCATAAAATATTTTCTGGTTCTTTTCTGCTTATTTGATTGTGTAAGAGCTGAAATCATGCGAAGTTTTTTTTTTTCATACAACAATTAAGAAAATGGCATAAGCCCATAATAATATTAAATCGAAGATATATGTAGGATATCTGTGGTTTTTCGAGGCCTCGCAGTTGTTTATTCCTCCTGGAGTTAGACTTGAAATAAAACTCAGTATTTACTCTGTCCAAATTCGTTGGAGGAAAAAAAAAAAAAAAAATCTCGGGATCACAGATATCTGTAAACAGCGTCTGTTTAACGTCACGAAACCATGTAGGCCTACATGTTTTTAGTTTGGGGAATATGGGAGAAAAGGGGCGAAAGCTCATAATGTCCCCTCAGCCAATCCGAAGCCTCCGCGCTTCTGGGAACAGGAAGCGCAAATGACCGACATTCTGTAGAAACCATTCATTATTTCCAAACATGTTATTGGGGGGTTGAGATCGTAACCCCGGGCTAATTATTGGGGCTTTCCAGACCTGCTGAAAAACAAGCATTTCTGATTTCCAGGCGCGTTACCACCACTGTCTAATCAAACAGTCTTGACATCTGCTAAAGCAATATGTGCTGCAGCAGGCATGTGTCCAATTCACCTGTTTGACTCTCAGCTAATGAAAATGGTCATAGTCTCTGGTCTCAGGCCTTTTCTGTCACAGCTGTAATTAAAACTTTTTCTTTTTTTTTTTTTCCAAACTGTGTTTTCTGAAATAATATTGAGCTGAAAGACGAATGCAAATCGACAGCTCTATAGCTTCAATTCAAGTTCTATTTAATAGAAAATCTTATTTTGAGAGCTTCTCTTCTTCCAGCTAAAATAGCGCAAAGCATCTGGAAATATACCGGCCTCAGTTATTTTAATGAGCGTAGTTTGGACACAGTCTAGAAAACTGTGCAGTCTTTGAAGTTGTGAATGAATTTTTGCCCAATTGTCTTGAGTCTACTCCCAAATTATTTTTAATAGTATTCATACTCTCTGCTTTGATTATTTCCATCCTCCGAGCCCAGTCAGTAGGAGAACTCACATGTGTTTTTGCAAAATGTATTATTTTCTTTTTCTGTAAACTGATCTCAGGCTATCACTTTGGAATGGGCAATTATTTGTCTAGCTGTGTTTCTTCTTGGAGCACTTGCAGAGGGTATAGAGAGTGCACCAGGACTCTTAACTTGTTTCTTTTGTTTTGTTTTGTTTTTTTTTATTCCAAAAGATGAAACAATATGCGAACGCTCTGCCAGGCTGCGTATATTAACAAGAAGCTAGCAAAGTGTCACACGAGAGATTTTACAAGGTTTGGTGAAAGTGTCAGCCAGCGTGCAGACAAACCTCCAGTCTTGTCAGAAAGCTGGAAGCACACAAGAGCTGCCAACTAATTACCTGCCAGAAACCGCTGCTCACTTGAGGGATATCCCTGGATTGTGTTTAACCTCTTTGGGATTCACTTACTGTTTCAAAACAAATTCTGCGCTTTTGTTGTTTGACAAAGACATTGTTTTTTTTTTTACCAAAAACTTAGTCATATCATAAATCATATTATTTTCATCTGTCAAGTTTGTGCCAACTATCTGCTTAGCCAGAGAGCATCAAATGTAACATTATAAATTATGCAATGAAAATATGTCTTATTGAGACACGCTTTTTATTGAATTGTTTAGGACCCCTCAGAGCATCTTCGGTTTCTGGAAATGTGAGCTATCGTTTCGTTCTCCTGGGTGACTCGTGAGCAGTTAGATGCATCCAAAAAAAACTTCAAAACTCAGCTCCACAAAAACATTTTGTAATACTGTCATTATATGAGCCTCAAGCTGAAGAGGACTCACTGTGAGAGTCTAGCAAATACTGAAATGTTGCATTTAAATAGCTGCTATTTTTGGACAAAAAAGATTTGTGTGAGTTCATTTTTAGCGTGGCCATACTTCTTTTAAAAATGCTTCAAAGCTGAAGATCTTGTATTGACGAAGCGCAGCCGGCGCAACAAGTGGTTTCTATTGCACTGTATATGTTACTATAAAGTCAAGTGTGTTTTGCTGTTTCAGATAACCCAGCTGAAGATTGAGAACAACCCATTTGCGAAAGGTTTTCGTGGAAGCGATGACATGGAACTGCACAGGATGTCCAGAATGCAAAGGTATAGTTCAAGAAACTTATATATTCGATGGGCCCTCTTGGAGCACGTGCATATCTATATTGTGTTAGCGACCTATTCCTTTAATTGATCCTGGGCTCTGATACATGGAAATGCTGACACAAACTCAATGATGTCAAATGAGTAGATAAACGTTAACCGCAATTAGGCAGGCATAGCTGACATCCTGGACACACTGTCACTTAACAAGCCCCACTTTAATCCTTCAATCGCCCCTGTGCGAGCTAGTTATGAGTGTTATTTTCAGTGATGTAAGTGTAGCTCTTGATCGTCGGCCAGTTTTCATGCCGAAGACTTTTATGGCTGATCTGGCAGAACCTCTGAAACACAACTGCAACATCTCCCTTCCTCACAGCTCTTTCTAGCAGGATGTTCCAACTGCTAATGCGTCTGCTGCATATGTGTGTGTGTGTGTATGCGTATGTGTGCGTATGTGTGCGTATGTGTGCGTATGTGTGCGTACATGCATGTGTGCTGAATTGGTGGTATCGCTTGGTCCAGCAGCCAAGGCAGTACACAACCACATTGCTCTCTCTCTCTCTCTCTCTCCCCATCTCTCTTTCTCTGTTATTCAGTCCAGATGAGGGATGGAGTCCATACTGCGTGGAAAACACTTTTTCAAAGGACAAAATCTGGTTTTGAAACTCACAGCCCACCAACCCCCCCACCCCACCCCAGCCCCCACACCCCCCACAACCCCGCCACCCCTCTTTGGGCAGCCAATCACAGACGTCGTGTGTATGTGTTTTCAAATGTAGAAAATCCCAAACCATACAACACTTGAAAAGCTGCTTGGCGTTTCCACAAGGTGCTAAAATCCCGCTTCCTTCCCATAACCTTCATTCAGAGCCACAGAATAAAGGTTTTGGTAATTAAGCATTTCAGATTAATGTCAGGATTTATCCTGCAGAGAAAAATCCCTGGACAGTGGTTAGATCCCTGTGCTTTCGAGTAGTTTTTTTTTTTTTTTTTTCTAAATTGCTCGCTTGATTGCATCAGACGCACGTTAAGTTACTTTAAGTAGGTGCGTGCCACAAGATAATACGGCTTTTTAAGTGAAATGCATTTCACCTATCAAAACTTGCAAATATATAGATCTTGGTGAAAGTCCAAACCACACTATCAATCTTGCATGCCATTGTCCAATCCGGCCGAGTACAGTAAGCCATGCACGTCTGCTCTTGGTTACAATTTTGAAGGGAGAGCTTATTGCAAAACCAGGTCACTGTTTCAACTGAAGCGATCCCGAAAATCAAAGAGGCAAAAAGTAGCAAAATGATCTATTGACGGATCCTGAGGATTAATAGGAGTGAAATACATGCTGGCATTTTTACTGGAAAGGGTTTCCCCCAGAGGAGAGTCTCTCTGTGTGTCCCGAGTCTGTGTGAGTCAGTCATGGTGAACGTAGCGGTCTCTGAGAACAAATAAGGAAATGAACAGGATTAAACTACAAGTTTTGTTGTTTTTGTATTTAACTGTTCACGGCAAGTTCACTCTTTAATGTGCACTACAATAGAATATAGTATGTATGCAATAATATTTCAGGTCAGTTCAGGATAATTACTAACAACTGTAACTCTACTCTGCGTGTGTGTGTGTGTGTGTGTCTGTACACAGCACTAAGGAGTATCCAGTAGTGCCTCGCAGTACAGTGCGACAGAGAGTGGGCTCCAGCCAGAGCCCCTTCAGCGGGGAGGTCCAGGGCATGGGCACCCCGAGCACCCTGAGCTCCCAATATTCCCAGTGTGAGAACGGGGTCACAAGCACCTCACAGGACATGTTGCCTCAGTCGGGCTCCTACCCCCTGCCACATGAGCACAGCCAGGAGTACCACTGCATCAAGAGGAAAGGTGGGAGACTCTGCTCTACAAGGTTGCAGTAAAAACAGTGATGGCGTGTGAGGGATGTTGTTTAATATGGGACACATTGATATGGATGACAGATCAAGTCTGCTGCTGTTAATGCTCTTGAATGATGCTATTATTAAGCTGAGGGATATACTGAGTGATAGACAAAGAAAATTATTTGGTCAAAAACAACCGATAAGTCAGTGTCAGATCTGTTGTAGAGTTTATAATTACCTCCTATGTATGAATATTTCTTCACATAGATAATTACCACTGTCATTCAGGTTTCATGCAAAATTGTGATCTGTGTGTATTTTTATTTTATTTTTTTAGAAACAGTACACAATGATCAAAATTAATTAAAATGTAAATATGCCTGAATTTGGCAAATGACAAATTTACATGTCTGGTCTCTTGCCTGATAGTTTTTAGTTTGTTACCACAGACTTATACAGTATTAGCAAATAACATATGTGTATAAAATCCAAGCTAAATATATTCAAACATAGTGTGCTTTATATGTACAGCATGTAAATGTACATTTAATAACACGTTTTTTATCATAGTCATTTAATTAGTGGGAGAATAGTGGATTTAATCATTTGTTTTGGTCTTAATAAACAAAATTAAAAGACAATATTGCATAATTTGTCATTTATACATTTTTTACTTTGCATAAAGAGATAAATTGAGTAACTCTGTTCTTTAACTCATTCTACCTGCAGTGGAGGACGACTGCCACTCAGGTGAGCACAGCTATAAGAAAGCCTACCTAGAGAGCTCGTCCAGTGAGGAGGACCATTACTACCGCCCCGTCGGCTACGCCCAGAGCCTCGGCCTGGCCGGTGGGCCCTACCGCAGTGAATCCAGCCAGCGGCAGGCCTGTATGTATGCCAGCGCATCACAGGGCGCTGAGCCTGTTCCCAGTTTGGAGGACATCAGCTGCAACACTTGGGCCAGCGTCTCACCCTATGGGAGTTGTTCTGTCACCACCATGCAGCCAATGGAGCGGCTGCCCTACCAGCACTTCTCTGCTCACTTCACCTCAGGGTCTCTGGTGTCCAGACTCGGCGGGGTTGGGGGCCACGCCTCACCGCAGCTGGGCGAAGGCCACCACGCAGCCATGTACCAGAGCTCCATGACCCACCAGACTCTGGGCCGCCAGTGCAGTCCTGGGGCTGGGATCCAGTCCCCAACAGCCGGTTTACAGGGAAACGAGTACCTCTATACACACGGCATCCCACGTACATTATCGCCACACCAGTACCACACTGTACATAGTGTCAGCATCATGCCAGAGTGGAATGAGAACAGCTAAAAGCTTTTTTTTTTTTTTTCACCCTCAACAAGTGAAAACATTAAAAGGAAAAAAAAAAAACAAAAAAGGACCAAAATAAGGCAGGGTTTAGATGAACTTATATTTATATTTTTAGAGATGCTGTTCATCTTAATGAGATCAATGTTGGTCCACTGAGACAGCAGTGGATACTGGTGAGATGATGTTGACTAGGAGAGCAAGCATCTCATCACTTAACCTGTTGCGATAGCATCTGCACTTATAAGAAAATGACATAAACTTGAACAAAGAGGAGCCGGACCAGAACTTGTGCAAAGACCTCTCAAGTGCAGAACAAGAGAACACAGTGTGGAAACGCAGACACTGATCAGAAGAAGAAAAACGCTTCATGCTTTGCCACCAGTCCGCTGGTTGATTGTGTCTTCGTGCAGTGGTGTTTTTTGGATGTCAGTGTTTCAAAGACAAGGGAATATGTTTTCATCATTTTTTCAGTACAAACGTCTTTTGTACTCATGTCCCAAATTCATGTAAAAAAAAAAAAAAGAAAAGAAAAAAAAAAGACATTGTCTTCTGTCACGTTAGCCTGAGTTCTCATTTTCTTTTTAAGTTTTTGTAGTTAAACAACTTACTTTGTAGTAAAATTGCTATGAGTTTTAAAAAAAAAAAAATGAATAAGCAAATGGGAGCTTTTGTTGTGGCTCTCTGGTGAATTTGCTTGCTCTTAAGTTTGTTACAAGGGTTATTTGGTTTCCTAAAACCACGCACGTCACAAATCTAATCTTAATGCCACGAAAACGGAAACATGACGGTAGAAGTCACAAGCAGGACAGCACTTCAAGTAGACCATTTATTCACGCACAGACTCTTCGGCTAAACGCTCTTCTTCAACATTCAAACTGGCAGCGGTGGATTTTTAACCTGGACCTTATTTTCCCCACTCATTGCCACCTTGAGCCAAGATTTACAGCAATGAACTAATATAGCCATCAGTTTGCAGGCTGCACTGCAATTTTCCCTGCCTACATCCAAATCTCCTGTCAACCTTTAGGTATATTCAAAGTAATATAATGAAACTCACTTACAAAATTGAGACAGATAAATACAGATTATTGTTGGATGCGGTCATTCCAACAAGTAAAATACAACACTTTGAAGTTGTAGCAACTAAGTCCTAATCACGCATCCATGTAGTACAATGTATACACCACGTAATTGCGTAGTGCATGGATTTTGATTGGGTAGTGTTGTCTCGAATCAAACACCGCCGTCGTGCACTAACTGGAAATGTTGATCGCTGCCGTTAGCTAGCTAGCATTCGGGTTATCGTTCACGGTACCAAATCATTTCAGACTGCTAAACTAACCCAATAAAAACATACTGATGGTTTTCTATCCAACAACAGTATTGTGGTACTAAGAAAAGAAAAAAACACTTGTGGTGCAGTGTTCACTGCTGCAACCAAACAGCTGCAGCTTCCTCTGCCACCATTTTCACAAGTTTGAAAATAGGTTGGTGCATTCTTGGAAGTTCAGAAGAACGTGAAATGAGACACGCTGATAGTCTTGTTCCTCCAGTATTGAAGAAATGACAGAGGACTGGCAGCCAGAAAAGTAAAGCAGGAAGTATGTAAGCAATCACAAATGAACTAATGATTATTTCATATTAACAACGATAATAATGAAATTACAGGTGATTATATGATTTAATCAGACCTCAAGTCATAAGGCGGCCAGAAACACAACACCAAATGAATGTAAATGTTTCTCTGTGTCTGCTGGATCTGTAAATAGGCAATGGGTTGCTAACACAACTTTATAAGGTGATAATATGTCATGCTGTGGGTTTGTCACCTTGTTGTGGAGTTCCTCTGCCCCCAAGTAGCCAAAATAACATTAAGGCGGCTTTAAATGTCATAATTACTCAATCACAGCTATATAATGATAAGTAGTTAGACAATGTGACTGTCATTATGGTGGAAGGGCATCATGTGTTGATCACTGTTTGAGTTTGACTTTGGTTTCGCTTGATAGTGAGAACAGCGCTCCCTGCAGACTGCGAGGGTGTGGGCTCCGCAGCACAAACACTGATGAAGTTCTGATGTTAACGGGGGGAAACAAGGAAAATAACACCCAATGTCCCACTTGGAGAAATGGGTCAACAACTTAAATCTGTTCCTTTTGGTTTATTGATTTATTTACAGGTCGGTTCAGCACTGGCTGTCTGCCATCAATAAAGAGAGCGTGCAAAATTACAAGAATTCTGTGATTTCATACTGCCCTCGTTCTGGTTTTGTAATCCACAAAAAAAAAAGCTTGATCGAACTAAAGTCATATTGCAGTAAGAAAGAGCAACAGTTTTAACTGTAAATGTAACACTGAGATCTTTTATTCGGATTGTAGCCAGTAACACAATACTTGACTTTAACCATCAGTATACAGAAATCCTGGTCATCCTTTGTGTTGTGTTGCTGCTCTGGATCATCCACATCTTATTTTGAAATATAGAGATAAACTACAGCCTTGAGGAATTACATTGTAGTTTCTGATAAGTTTAACAATGTTCTTTGCATCTAAAACACCATGAAAACTTTGCCCTCTTTCTGACATAACAGCCCTGCGATGTTTGAAGGAGATTTTTTTTTTTTTTTTTTTTTTACCTTTGTGTAAGCGCTGGTTGTGTGTTTCATGCAGTCTCATGTTGTACCCAGTGAATGTGTGTGCTCTCATATTTTTTAAGTATTAATCCTCAAAATGGCACTTCTCTGACAATCAAATCAAACCACCACGTAAAGTAGCAGCTGGACATCACATAGAATGTAAATTTGGAAAACGCAAACTAAATTTACTCTGTACACGTTGTAAACAAAAAGTCAGTTTTACCATACAAACGAGTGTATGTTAGAGGTATGTTTTACATGTGGACAAAAGCTAATTTTTAAATGCTTGTAGTCGATAGAATGTTATTTGTCAATAGTATTTATTTTTCAACTATGTAAATCAACCTGCTTCTGCATGTATCAAAGATAGAAGGTCCAATTTCTTTTTTTTTTTATAGCCTGTTTTTTATGATTGTTTATAGGATTTTCTATTCATATCAATCATATTTCTAATCAATCAAAACAGGAGATTACTAGACAGCTGTCAAAAAGTATCAAAATAAGATTGAAACACATGAATAACTTTGTAAATAAACATGTACATAACAGAATACCTGCAATAAATTTAAAAACATGAACACATTGTTCTTTTGTCTGTTCTTGCTGAAAAGTGTATTTCTCCTATCAAAAGGTGATTTTAATTATTTTTGGCAGACTTGGACCTCCTCTCTTGTGTTGGCATGTCCCGACTGAGCTCCACAGACATTTCACTGACTCGCCGCTTCTTATCTTTATCATTATTATTATTGATAGACGGAGTGTGGTGACCTATCTTCTCCCACCATCAACCTGAGCAAAGGTCTAATCAGAATAACTGAAATAACAGTAAACTGAACAGTGTGTATGTGTAAACCAAACATTATTTGCCTGTGACATGCGTGAGTTAACATCAGTTAAATACAGTAGTTGGCAGTAAGTAATTACACTCTAGCATCCCTTTACCCTGTAGATAATCCACAGGATTAAATGTCTGCAGTCTGGACAACCTCCTTACCCTCTACACCTTGAGAGCTACTACCCCTGATAAATCTCTTGCATGTGTGTGTGTGCGTTAGTGTGTCAAACCAAGTGTCCAATGTAAGAGTCAATAAGACTAATGCTGCACTTAGATTTGAATCATGAATTATGTTGTATTTCTGGCCTAAAACTAATTATTGATGCCACTGTTTTTGACAGCTGATGGGACACACCTGCTGTGACATCACTGACCGTGAAATTACAAGTCACTTTCCTCATTTGAGTCATTTCGTTTAGCTCATTTCACAAAGAGTTGTGGTGACTGACTACATAGTTCATTCTCTTTCAGCTAAGCAATCAAATCATCATTCAAACACATGCGTTACTGAAACATGATTGTTTCTGTTTTCTTTTATAAGGAGGTAATGAACTGTGTACCATGGCTAAGCTAACAATTGTGCTCTAAGTCACCAGTGAAAGGAGCTCCACTGCTAAAAGCTTCTGATTTGATCTGTGACAGTGGTGACTCAATATAGTCATATTAAAGTTTCAGTATTAAAAAAATTGTCCATATACTGTATGTACTCTGCACCCCTAGTGGCAGCAAGTGCAACATGCTAAAAAAAAAAAAAAAAATCAACCCACAAAAAGCAGCAGTTGTCTTCCACATGATGTGATCAGACGACATTTCGCCAGGCAAGTAAATTCACTTGTGGCGTATGGAAACAAGTAACTGTGACAAAAAATAGCATGGGTAGTGTTCTAAGCATAAACTGAAGGAGCTAGCAAACTCCTACTGGTCTTAACTTGTCCTTGCGCTCGCGGAAGCCAAGCAGCATCCTTCCTTTCCTACTGCTTATATTATTATTTCACCGCACAGTTTTATTAAGAAGGACATAAACAATATTACCTGAATGAGAGGTCAGTCACACTCCAACCTGCACCAATGCAAATGCCGGATCACTTTGTGACCAGAAGCAAATATGACTCTCCCTGTTCCCCGATGACATGAACAGCGTGTGAACTCTGGTCTGACCTCACTTCAAGAGTGGATTTTACCCTTTATTGCTGAAGCTGCTCATTTGTTACCTCAGAGGATGCTTTGTATAAAGAATTCTTTCTTGGTTGCTGATTCGCTAAGTGACATTTACTTTTCATGAGGAAAATTTCCTTTGACAGTGTGACAATGAGCTGGCGTTGCAAAACACCACAGCTCTGTAACCAAAGCAGCTAAATGCAATTCAGCCATCATTATTTTTTATTATTTACACATGTGTTTTTCCAACTGTGACATGTCAAAATGTCTATTTGAAAAAAAGAGCCTATTGTGTAACAATTAAGGAACTTTGGCATTCACCCTTTTACCCATGAAGTAAAAGCTGAACTGCCTGCATCAGGGGAGGAGTGG